ATGGTACCAATGATCCAAATTTATGTGAAAGCCAAAATATGCCCCCAACTCATCAAGAAGGCATTTGGGAACAGAAGGAGATCCTGACAAGAGGAAGAGGAATACCAACTATGGGGGTAGTTTTATCAAGATACCAGGTGAAATCCTTGAATAAGGAAGGAGAATGGTTGAGGACAAGAGATACCAAGTAAGGATCCAGAGAACGTGCAATCCATTGCAAATAAGCATGCCTAAAGAGGATACAAGATTCCATGGAAGCCCAAGTCCCCAAAAGACAGAGAACCTCCTGCACAGTGATAGAAGGAGAGAATATGACATGGGAACTAATCTCTCCATGTCCCTGAAAAGAAGAAGAGAAGACTGGGCTTTGTGGAGATGCAAACTAAAAAACAACTAAATGAACGAAAAACAAAATGGGTGTGAGATGTAACTCCTTCAAGTTGACCAACCAACCCAGACACACTATCTCCAGAAGGAGGAGAAGAGGATGGCTGTAGGAGGCTTGTTGGGATAAAGCCAAATGAGAAAATAAGAATCTGAGATCAGATGTCCCAAGATCTGAGGCAAAAACCATTGTAGGGTGAGAAATCAAGAGAGAACAAGAAACCGACTGAGACATTAAAGTTGCAAGACTAGATACCTAACTATAGATTCCCTGGGAACCACGAAAAGATGGGAATAAAATCCTGGAAAAGGATGAGAAACCCATCCAATATTCACTTTAGCCATAAGAACCAGCCATGGACAAACGTTAGCAAGAAACAAGATCACCTGGAGAAGGGAAAGTAATGAGAACAGGAAACAATAGAGGAGGAAAGGAACAAATGAAGGTCAAGGCTCTCTAATAGCATTCCCAGTACTCAACAACTGGTCACAAATGGAAGGCAAAGTCAATAAACAAATGAAACAGGCCCTACTGACCCTGATCCTACAGGACAGACACCACTAAACCTGATAGTGGCGAAATCTATGAGTGGTGGATGGATCAATGGGAAGAGGAATAGAAAGTGTTGACAGAAAGAAGGTGAAGCAGAAGGACAGGAAACTGAGAGAGAGAGGCAAAGAAGGAGCATAAGAGAGATGATAAACCATTGACGAGAAGGAAAAAACATTGGCATGTGGCTCCAACATGACACCAGAGAAACAAGCATACCAATAAAAGGTGAAAGGAGCCAGAAAAAGACATAAAAGAAAAAGGAAGGCAACAACAATTATCTAACAAGGCATCAAAACCCAATCAACTCTATCAAAAGATTGGCCAAACAGGAAGAGAAAATGCCACAGAAGATAAACATGCCACTGTAGAAAAGATAAGTGAATGAGCATCTATCGAAAACCCCACACAGGAATGGTAGATTACTATGGAAAGAAGGTTAAAGAAGAAAAAATAGTGGAAGAGGGTAATGTGTGTGTGTAAGACGAAGGTAGAAAAGCCTGAGAAAGATGAACAAAAGACAGAGGACCTGACCCACAAGTCTGAAGAAAAGACTCCAGAGTTTAGGAGTGAAAGAAAAGCAATACAACATGAATTCATGCCTAGTCATATGAAGGAACAAAGGAGGGGAGGACAAGGCATGTAAACCCCAAAGTAATGTGGAAAATAACTCAATATGTAAAAAATCATAATTGAGAAACCTAGTCATGAAATCACAAAAAAAGGCTGAGGGAGAATCAAGAATATATGGGTATAAGATGAGGAAAAAGTGGGTGGGGAAAAAAAAAATTGCCTAAATCACTTCTATCACGAATGAGAAGACATAGATGGAGATATGTCAAGGACAAAAAAAGGCTTAGGCTGCATGAAAGACCCCACCACCCACCACACAAAAGCTCTCACCTCTTCTAGCATACAAAGATAAACCCAACGACAATGTAGTTGGTAGGCTAGTGTCAACAAAGTCCTGTTGTTTCACACCAGACAAAAGTAAGTTACCAACACTAGTGAAACAATGGCTTTGTAGATACTTCCACTGAAAAATACCTCTATCTGAAAAGTTCACAAGCAAAAAATGACATATCATTACACACAAGTGCCAAATTGAGAAGAGATGATTCTGGTCTACAATACAGAGGAAGTCAGCTGCACTAAGAGGGTGTGTCACACTCCTACTAGTGGAGGGTTGTCGCATGCCCATTTGCATGCAATAACATAGCTATACCATGTGTAAACACGTGATGTTAGGTCAGAGCCTCAAGGCTAGTGACAAGCAAAAAGTGTGTATATAGAGGGCAGCACAAATTGAGGAAAGCTATTATGTGAGAGGGGGTAAGGTGTCATATCAGAATGAATATTTCAGCACCACTTCCTAAAATCATGCTAGACTTTGTACTTAAGTGTTACTTTGGATAAAGGTAAGAAACAAGAAGGCAGTGATGACCTTGTTGCTAGTCATGGCAATTCAAATACATTGAGTTGGTAATAGCCTCCTGTTTTTTAACTATTTAAATAAACAATACCATTTAGATTAAAATCAGTCTAATTTTTGTGTTTGTATTTATTAGTATTGCTTTATTCATAATGTAACACAGGCCTGCAAATTTAGACTTCATACAAGTTGTTTTGGTTTTAATAACAGATTTACCATAATTCAGCTACACAGATTTTGAAAATAATATTAATTTTTTCTAACATATAAAGATTTTTTACAAATCAAGAAGAAAAACACTCTTACTTAGATCAAAATATTATTTCATTTACCACAATGAGCATTTGTTATTATTATGTTTGTTAACAAAAATACATACAAACTGAAGAAAAGGGAAGAACATTGATATCAAATGAATATGCATCGTCATTCATCCTCAATTTTTTTGTTAAATCTATGTCTTTTAATCTCAAAATTGTGTGTTGTGTTTTTTCTTTTATGTGTTGCATCTGGAGCATCTCATTTCAATGACCAGCAGTAATCAGCTATCATGCTGATGTGTCCACCTTCCTTGATACCTCCTCTTCATTTCCCTGATGTCTTGATGAAACCTTTCCCCTTGTTCTTCGCTAATGACACCAAGATTTTCAGGAAAAATAGTCAATATGCGAGTGTAAGAAATGAACTTTCAAGCTCATATTACAACCCAACTCTTTGAATATATCAAGCATGTTATTGACAATATTTTCATAATATGTGAAGAGCCCATGATTTGTCTTGTTTCTTCACAACAAACTTACCACAAATATAACAGAATATGTTTGGGTCATTTACACAATCTCTTGTTGCCATAGTGATGTATTATGCATCTTTTAGTGGGATAGCAAACATACAGACAGGTTAATTGTAATTTTTTTTTATCCCTGCAGCATTCACATTCATGAGGTATTTTCTGACTTTGTAATCCTTCAAACTTGCACTGAACCAAACTCCTGATATTATCTTATACTCTTTATTGACATTATATCCTATCACCCCAATATCACTCTCCTGGTAAAGGTCAGGAGAGCAATTCATTTTGATATCCCAAGAAAACAAAATATCAAAAGTATTTTTCTGTGTTAGATAAAAGTCTAAATTCAAACATGTTCAAGATATATTGTGAAAAGCTGAATCCATCATATAAATAGTCAGTTTTCAAATAACAACAACTGTGAGAACTCAAGGATATTTGGTTTTATTAGTTAAACTGGTGGTGTTGGGTCTCCTGTTTTATTCTTTATAGATGTAACTTTCTTTAATGAACCAACAAAAATATGTTGCAAAGGATCATTTAATGCATAATTAATCCAAATATAATATTCAAGTATTATCAAAAACAAATGTAAATGATCAGAAACACTTACTTCATCATGAAAGAACTTTCCCACTTGCAATGTCTGTAATCAAAAATCACAGGCCATGGTCTGTTTTCCATGTACTATTGAGCAATGGCCTTTACTGATCAGCGAGTTTATATGCTTGAGTTATGAGAGTAACATTTTGTGAATGTACAAACTTAAGAACATTTATAAACTAATCTACAAAATGTGTTATCTGTGCTCTGTCAAATTTTAGCCTAATATTTTTTTACATCTTGTTTACTTGATGATTTAGAGGGGGGTCTCATAATTGGAGGTTTTAAGGTTTGATTGCCATTGCCATTGTGGCAAAGTTACTAAGGCTATCTGCCACTTTCACTAATTTTGAACTGCTGACTAGAAGGTGGGCAACTATCTGGCAATCCCTACTGACAAAAATTTTCTTCTTTAACTAATGACTAAAGGAAAGTCAACTAGCTGGAGAAATTATACACCAACTTTTCTTTGTCTTGCTTACTTGCATGTATCATGGTTTTAGAAATGCTGCGCTAATTAATTAATTAATTGAATACCATCAATTAACACAGACATCCTAAATACTACTAAATTACCATCTCTAGACTTATAAATATCAGAAACAACCAATTCCCATAATCAATAATTTGGGAGTTAAAAATTGGTTCCCTACAAATGACAAAAGTCACATTTTCTTAAGGGATATTATATTAATATTGCTTTATGAGGAATGTATTAAACACGAGAACAGATATTTTTACATAGTTAATTAAACATATTAAAATTAATATCTCAAAATGAAAAAAAATACAATTCCAAACAAAGTAGTAATCCGTTAAATAGTTCTAAATTTTGAGGGTCTGAGGATACTTTTCAGTTTTTATCATTAGTTGAAATTTCATAATATACAACAATATTAAACTAATATCCTTTTCAAAAAAATATAACAGCCATGAAGAAATCAAACCACATCTACTTTAACATCTAAGATATAGGGGCTACCATGAATGTGCAAAATGGGGTGAAAAAAGAAGTGAAAGAGTAGTTCTTAACATAACAAAATCTGAAAAATAAAGAATAAAACTGAAAGTTAGTTTAAAAACTGTGAAATTCACAGCTACATTTGGTTTTGTCAGCATAAAAATCACAAAACAATACACCATTACGGCTTCATAATTGCACACACATTTACAGGTAAAGCACTGCCATAAAAGAACTAAAGATTCATTTCTAGGTACTTGTTATTCTGTATGCCTACCTGATTCCTGTGCTATGAGCTTTAGAAGATTTTGATAACAAGGATAAAGTATGAAGCACCTGAAAATATAAATGTGTGTTATTAATATAATAATAATGCTAAAATACTTCAATAAAGGTTACCACCTATAACATGAGTAACACAGACAAAATAATTTTAAGAATCCAGCTGTACTTATAATTTTTAACCCTATATTTGAGACTTAACCAGGCCCAGATTGGTGATAAATCCCAAGTATATAACATCCAGAAAATGTCAGAATTTACTTAAAATTTGCTAGAATTATGGTATTTTGTAAATGATCAGCAAAACTGAAAAAGTTAGTCCTCCTAATAACTGGAGGTTCTCGAATGTCAGGCTTGGGTGTATATTTCCCAATGTGTTACAATGGTTGAGTCACAAAGAAAAGATAAGACAGATTTACACATGCAACAAATGTTTAATGACAATTTTAAAGTTAAAAATAGAAATAACAATGCACTGCAATATAATAAACAGCTATAAAAATTATAGTAGAACAAATGAACTTGTGTTTGTGTGAAAATAAAGGGTTTAGACTAGAAGGAATAATAAAGACTAACAGATGAGCTCTTGCTAGTGCAGGTTCTTCCCCCTGTAATTTAAACTAGTTTAAACAATAAATAGTAACAGAGATAGAAATGTAAAACAAAGTTAACATCGTTTTAACCAAATTTGCACTCGGTTGGTCCATTGGACTAACCCTGTAATAAGAAGGAAAGCTAACTATAATTCTAAATTCACCAAGTGTATCTACGCAAGATATACAAGCTTTTAGTAATATGTGCAAGTCTGTTGTACGCAATAAATAAATGTGTTACAGAAATATGCTTTTTTCATTGTACAGTGTACACACTGCATTTGCAAAACCTTTAGAACCTCCAGCGTGCACATCTACAGCTTTTTACAGAATCCCTGTATCTGGTACCTACTCCTCTCTACAGCAAATTGTCATTAAATCAGTAATGTGGGGTAAAATGAATACTTAATAACTCAAGTCTGACATCACATGCACAATACCATGTTGAATAATACTCTGTAAAAGGTAGTGGCATGTGAACTTCAGCTCCCCACCCATGTACATAGAGTTAACTTGTATGAAATCCAAGTTCCTACCTGTATTTCACTAAAACAGTAATAATCTGTTCTTTAAATATAAACTTATGCTCCACTATCACATGAAGCAACTTATACAAGGTTCACTCATGGAAAACATAAGCAACTCAATTAAAATACAGGGGAAATCCAAATTGTATCTGCACAAATGAAAAATAAAAGTTAACTCTAATGATGGAGAACCTGAAGAGGTCTCCAAGAGTGAAACAACAGAAAAATACACAAACCTGTTATTTGAAACAGAAAGTGAGAACTTATGTTTTTTCATTGGAAATTGTCTTTAAATTAAATATCATAATTTCTGACAAAATCTATCTTCATATTCCTTTGCAAAATCTGTGTAAATCCTACTTTCCCAAGACCCAACACTATCTTAAATATGTCAATAAACACTCAAGTTCCTGACACAAGAAAGAGTCTGGTGCATGTGAGATCACCTAGCCAATGGGTAGTGAAGATCAAAGGTGAATCTACACAAGCTATTATTTGATTTGCCAACAAGAATAACTGAGCTCTCTAATTACAAACAATGCTATTATTCTATAAGATAACTGGATGAGCAGCTTTGGCCTTTGACTAGGCTTCCACTAACAACTAAAGAAAGTTAAAGTTAGTAACTCACTTCATTAAATATCTCTGTGTTCAAAAAGGGAACTCTAAAAAAAACCGAAAAAAACATCATTTTGAAAATTTTACATTTTAACTAAAGTGTTGGAAAACTTATAGTATGTCACAATGCTAATGAGGATTAGGGCTTCCATGTTGAGAAGATGAAACATAGTAAGTTTTTTCATTGGGAAGTTCAACATCTTTGTCCTTCATTGACTAGTATTTTTCATTTTGTGGCCAAAAGTTGAGTGATTTTTTTCTGTGCTTTTTCCTGATTTAAAGCTCATAAAATGAATATAGAACACTATGGAAATATCATAAGACAATCCTATTCTTCCTACTACTATCAACTGCAAAGTGAAAAAACATTTCAAATGCAACAAATGCAGTTAATATGTATATAAACCAAGGCTCAAACTTAAGGTTCAGCAATATGAAGCTACAAGATTTTACCAGGAGTTTCTGAAACTACTTGCAAATGCTCTGAAGTTATTGTCATAGGACTCTTATGCAAAATCTCAGACAGCCTGCTATGAAATGTTTTATGTAACTAGTACAATACTTAGTGACAGTGCTTTGTTTGGAATGCATCACAGTACCCGGCCAAATAAAATACTTGGCTCTGATTGGCTGAAAGATCAGAAATTAAAATTCTAGTGCCAATGTAGAAATGTAAGATACTGCCACTTCATATCGTTATTACATGAAAATAAGCCCTATTATGCAATAAGTCTTTTTTCAGTCTTGCTCTGAAGCTATTGTCATGGAACTATTATAGGAAGCCTCAATGAGATGAATTCAATTAAAATTAATTAGTCTGCTATAAAATGTGCTACGTAGTTAGTATGATATTGTATCAATAATAATCTTTATAGATAACAGAAGAAACTTATTTTCAAATTACACCGGAATGCACCACAAAATTGACAAGAAAGAGGATGAAATTATAAGTTGTTTCTTCATTTCAGATGGGTGAAAACCACACTGTTTGGAATGCCTCACAATACCAGACAGATTAAAATACTTGTCTTTCCAAAAATTAAAGACAAAGTTACATTACCCATTATCCTATGACAATACACCATCAACACATGGCAATGTAACATTTTTCTTCCACCTGTCATTAATGAGCAGAAAATAAATATATTACACTACAAAATTAGACTTTATTCAGACTTGCTCTGAAACTAAAAGTAGCTTCCAAAACAGGATTAAAATAAGTGATCTGACTCTGTTACTTGTCTGTCTGAGGCAAAAGCAACAGAGCATAAGTTCATGTTGAACCATAATGTGACCACAATGGAATATTCATTTATAGACAGTTTTTAAGAAAAGAAAGTTTCCAAAAGAGAACTTAAAAAAAAACAACTAGGTATGAAAAAAAAGAAATCTTTTTCAGAAGCAAATGATGCTGTTGTTCTATACTATGAAGACGGTAATTCGACAATTAATAAAATTCATACATTGGTCATTCAAAATATTTCGTAAAGATCACCTTGTGCATTTTGTTTTTGTTCTTATTCAGGGGTTTTTTTTTTATCAAGCTTCCACCCACGATAGCAAACAACCCAAATTAAATATAGGTGAACTTTTACAACCAGTTTGGAAGTTGTATTAAAAATTATTTCAGTTTCTATGCTAGTTTTAGACTCTAGGCCCAAGTCTAAATTATACAGTTAGTACTACCAGATTTGATTATATAAAAATCTATCACCAAGTTTTAGGAACTTCGAGCTTGTTAGGTTGTGAATTCAAAGTTAAATATATGCTAAGCTGAAGTTAGCATTTTCCTTAACTGAAAATGTATTTCAGATAGATACTTACCTCTCTGGACTACTAAGAGCTATTACCTTGTATACAACTATCATAGAATTTCCTGCATATGCCACCAAACTCCCACCCCTACATGTATCTAAATTTACCATGCCAGCCTATGACCACAATGCTCTATCCCTCCACCAATAGGAGGACAACATGACCTCCATGCATGGTAATCCCCATAAACACTAGCACATAATCATAGGCTCATTCTTTCTTCAGCACAACCAGTGTTCAGGCGTGTTTTTCCTCTACTTTTTTGAGTTTCTAGTCACCTTAATTAGACTGCCTTTCTTTCTTTCTTTAGTGCTACATTTCTTTTGTCCTTGTTGCACTTTTGTTCCATCCACCTGCTTGCAACTTCATTTTCTCTAACCATTGTAATTCTACTTTAGGCTACTTTCAACAAGGTATACTTAGTAAAATATATTTTTAAAAAGTCCCAAGGCCAGACATTCCTTTCCAGACATTTTCTCCAACTGACTCAACAACAACTTTAGACAATTTATCTATTCATGGACCTGACAATCAGATATTATCCCTTTAGCTCACCTAGAAGAACACGTGCCTGTATGTGACACATCTCAGGTTTCACCCTGTAGTGAGGTACATTTGACATCATGGATAACTTAACTCCCACAATCTTAATGAGTTGTGATGAACTATGCTATACCAAGAAGTGATGATTTTCCCACTTTCATGCATAATGTGGTTGGTTCCCTTCTGCCTATTTCTTCTCCAGTTCTGGTCCCTAATTATATTGTTTCCTTGCTTTCTGTGAAGCCTGCTTTGCCTGTGGATGATTTTGGCCACCTCTTCCTCCTCCAGCTCTTGTTTCTAGCTCTGCTCTTCCTGATAAGAAACAAATACTTCCTCCTTTTCTGTTTGTTACATTCTTGAATCAGATATATGATATTCTATTCTTTTTTCCTGTACATCATAATGTCTGTTTGGTTGTTTTACTTCAAATACCTCCTTCTGTCCCAATTCCACATTGTCCCACATCCTTCTGTCCTACTTATCTTTGTAACTCCTTTTATATTTCTTGATCCATAATCTATTCTGTCCTTTCTTTCTGCTTAGGATATTCCTCTTTCTCCTATTCTGTCTTTCTTTCCAGCTATCTATTCATTTTTGTCCCTTAGTAGTAAGTAACATTTCCAAAATCAAGCAATTACAAGGATATTGAAAAGAATTGAATCACACTTAAACATAAATTTACTGAAAGATGTCAGCTTCTTAGCTAGAACATTATGACGCACGCTGTAAGTAATGATCTTCAAAATTTTTTGATAGAATTGTTACACCTTGACCTAAACAAAATTCAAAGCTTTCTGAAAACTCAGAAAAACATTTAGATGGTCATGATTTCTTCCATACTAATTGTAGTGATTCATCTGAAACTTTAAACTGATAAACTTTAATAAGTATAAAGGGAATAACCATTCTTCATGGCGCTACAAAATTCCAAACTAACACGTGGTAATATCACACCTTTCAGTGCTAAAACAAAGGTTATTATATACTGTGTCCAATATATTGTAAGAGACTATGGCAGTGCTCTGGAGGATGAACATGCTCATGGCAGAGAAAGGGTTAAATAACAAAGCTAATACTCCAACATGCTGGAACTGCAGTTTTAATAATACTAGTGCTGGTCAACATAATTGAATCGATTACAGAAATTGCTACCATAGAACACTATCAAAGTTATTAGGGTGCACAAATGAGTATGAATATATACAAGAACTTACACCAATTGAACTACCAAATATATACAAAAATTTACACTAATTGAACTACCACACTTAAAGCCATGTTTTTAAAACTCTACTAGATGAAACTCTTGTCAGTGAGGTAGTTTTGTTTAATTGTTACTATCAACACTATTTACTATGACATTTTACCTCTACAAATAACTAGCCCAGTTGTTTTACATGCTTTTATAAATGTGGTTCTTTATCTGTAGATTAAAAACAATTTTTATTTAAGTGTAAATATTTTTGCATGTTAAAAATTAACAGGGCAACCAAAACCTTAAAAATAGCAACCCAAAGAACAATTAATATTTAAGAAGTTATTCACAACCTTGTAAAGTTTTTCTTTCTTTTTTTATGATTGTATAAAAAAAACTACCAATCCACAAAATTAATTTTGTATGAAAAATTAAAAATAAGAAAAACTCACCCTTCCAAAATCTGTATAGTCAAATAACATGTATGGTTCAAACAGATCTGCTGTTTTCAAGTCAAATACATTTTGGCAAGTTTGAAGAAAACATCGTATATTCTTCATGCACAGAAACTGTAAATAAAATACACAAAAACAAACATAGATTTAAAAGCTCCTATAAAAACAATATTTCACAGAAAGCTAGAAACCAGAAATGAAGTTAAAAATGCTAGTGGTCAAACAATCATATTAGTTATGCATTAAAACTGCAAGAAATTGCCAGTAAAAATTCTGATGGGGTAGAATGTCTTAGCTTTAGTAAGGGTGCATTTTCAACTTCTCATTTTTAAAATTATTAATATAATCCAAATCATGAATGGCATAAAAATCTCCACAATAAGTAAATTCTTAACAAAAATAAGAATAGTTGCCCTTTCAACAATATATAAATATATACTGTAGCTAAAAAAATATCATTTTAGGCACATGAAAGTTAACAATTTTTTTACCTGACAATGCATTTCCAATAGGTACTTACTTTTGCATAACATAGCTATTCTTCGTGCATCTGTCTTTGAGATTTTGTACATGCCACTAGCCTTGGGCTATTTCCCACCTAAGACACACGTTGTAATGTGAACTGTGTTAGTGTATGATGTAATCATCATGTGACAATAGCCCTCTACCAATAAGAGGGCAACACATCCTCCATGTGTAGTAGAGCTCCATAAACACTTGCACTCAAAATTAATTTCATTCTTGGTATAACGTGCACCGGCAGTGGAAAAGAAGGATGGAGAGGTGTGCACAGAGGTAAATATATATCAGAAATGCATTTCCAGGTAAGAAAAATGTTTAACTTCCAAAACGATATCCTTATCTATCTACACAAAATAGTTAGAATCCCACACTGATGTGGTGAAGGGACCAGTGTTGTTGCAAAATCCTAGATAAGTTCCTCTTGGAGAGAGCAAATGAAGGAGAAAGCCCATGGAGTGAGACACCTTATAGTGGAGGCTCACTAGAGAGGCAATACTTGTGTGAAATTGCATCCATCTTATGCAGATGGAAGTATGAAAGGAAGAAGGCAAAGAAGCCAGTTTATCATAGGGATGGGCAGAAAAGAGCATGACCAACTGAACATTTGCACACGACTGGTCAGTTCAATATAAGTGTGTGTGTGGCTAGGGTAATGATCAGACAGTACAGTTTGGTATGTGGTCTGTTGTATCATGTACTAAATGTACATAAAAGAACAGGAATGGTCCCTTCCTGTTGCAGGAGCAGGAAAACACATTGGGGAAACACCAGAGAGCAGCCCAGACCCAATCAGATCTAGCCTCCACAGAGGTCTTTTATTGGAGATAGTACAATGGATAACTGTAAAAAAAATTTTAAAAGCCAGCATGTGCCAGCAAAATAATTGGACAAACACTCCCCAAGAGCTGTTTTTTCCATGTTAATCTATGAAAGATACGGTCTGGAAAGGACCCGTGAGCATCTCCCTACAGGAAGGAATATATAATCTGGATGATTTGACAAAGGAAAAGACCAATGAATTGTCTAAGTGGATCATAACCAATTGATCCACAAATTGAGGTAGGAAATAGGATGGGCAGCCAAGAATTCCAGAACACTGGTAAGGAAAGTATACTCCATATGAGAGCAAACCCACAAGACCATGGAATTGTCCACAGATACATCCCAACCTGTATGAGATGTGTTGGTGAAAAGATGGAGATTTAGACATGGGAGCAGCTGTGGAATGCTAATTGTTATGTTGGAATGATCAAGTCACTATGACAGATCCTCGAGTAAAGTAGGCAACAGAATGACAAAAAGAACAAAGGACTGTGGGAGATCTTCAAACAGTAGCTCAAAAGTCCACTAAAAGAGCCTCATGACAGCTTAACTTAAAGAAAAAAAGATATTTGAGAGAGAGAAGCAAGAGTCACCAAAACAGATAGAACCACTTATACAGAAAGTATAGGAGAAGAAAGAGTCGAGGTAACAAGATGCTCCATGTTTCATAGACAAATGGGGGAAGCTGAGCCCAACTTAGTCAAGAATTGAAAAAAAAACTCCAAGGTGGACCAAAAATTGGGTTGAAGTGAATAACAACTTGGAAGGTTTGACAAACCAACCCTGAGAAGCAGCTTTTTGGAGGAAAACTGACAAGAAAGAGGTAAGGAGGAGTCATTCATCTATGTAATAATGTAAACTATGGACATGATGAACAAATGCTCTCATGACTTGGTGAAATATGTAAGGAGCTGAAGTAATGCTGAACGGGAGAGCTCTAAACTGCTACACTTGATCACAGTGAATGAATTAAAGTAAACATCAAGAGGACTGGGCAATTGGAATATGTAGGAAGGCATCCAAAACATGGACCTTGGTCATCCATAGTTCAGAAGAAAAGGACTAATAGAAAGGAAGAAACCCCTATATGTTGAACTGAGGAACAACTAAACAGTGGTTAACAGAAGAAACATTGATAACAGGATGCCAGTTCCTGGTACTTTCAGTTTTTAAGAGACAACAAAACCACGAAGAGCAGCAAAAGACCCTCTCAATGGCTCTCTTGTTCAAAGGATCCAATAGCATGATATTGAAGGCACAGAAGTTACTGAGAATCAGAAGTAGTAGTAAAAGGAATGGGAAGTTCAGAAAAAGGAGGAAGAGATGAGAAGTGAAGAGAAAAAGCCTTGTGTAAGAACTTGAATGACCCACCAATCAACTGCAAATGGGGTCCAGAGACCTCAAACAAACATTTACACATGGGGATTGAGATGACTGGGTAGAAAGGGAAGTAAGATGTACAGTGGCAACTTGACAGGATGGGAATGGGGTGACATGAAGAAATAGACGGACATGGGATGAGAAAAGAGAAAGAGAGATGAAGGGTTTATAGTTAGGAGAGATGAAAGACCATGGAGAAATTGAATCAGACAGCTTTAGTACAACTCTCCAACGTGTTAGGAACACCACCATCACTAGAGAGAATTACTGGACATGATGGGGGGGGGGGTCAGCCTTAAAGCAGGTAAATAAAAGGGACTCCAGTGATTGGAAAACCAACAATGGAAAAAAAAGGACCTACCATAAACCATAGAATAAAATCCTGGAGTTGAGGAGGATGAGGCATTTCAGAGTGTGAATGAAGCTGATCAGAAATGTATCCACATGTTCACATGTCTGAAGAAGGAAGAAACACCAAATAATTCTCAGCATAAAAACCATATAGTAAGGAACAGAACGAATCAAGACATGGGTGATAGAGAAACTAAAGATCAAATCTGAGAAATCAAATCCACAAAGAGATTTGGAAGAACATTGTCCTCTACAAGTGAAGAAGAGCCTAGTGCAAGCCCATAAGATGGAAAGAACCAATGAAAATCATCATCCTTGTGGTTGAATTCAGACAGAGAGGAACACAATTTGAATGTAGGAAGAGTGAGATGAGGCAATGAAGGCACTAATGAATTCATAACATTTTGAACAATGGCAGTAATGTCCTCTACAGTTAATGAGCCCCCAGTGTCCACAGACGAAGTAGGGTTAGTGTTAGCAACACTGCCAGAACCTTGGGAAGAGGTTTTAGTCATCATCACTTGAGAAATTTCCACATATTTTTTTTTAATATAGTAATCAGAAGGCAATATAGGTTGAAATCAGATGTGAAACAAAATAAAATTAAGAGAGTTTAAACTTTATCAACACGCCCATTCATGTCAATGCCAAGAAGAATAACAAAGTTAATTTTGAGTGCAGGCACTTAGTGCAATCTACTACACAAGAAGGATTTGTCGCCCCCCAATTGGTTAAAGGCTACTGTCATATAATGATTACACCACACAGTAAAACAATTAACATTAAAACATTTCTTACATGGGAGATAGCTCAAGGCTAGTGGTACGCATAGAATTTCAAATGCAGAAACACAAGGTATAGCTACTTTGTGCAAAGAGGTAATGATATCATTTCAGAATTAGTAGAGAGGAAATTCTGAAACTTGAGGGTTGTATCAATTCTGATTAAAGTGCTAGCACGGAGGATCACATACAAAAGAAGCAATGAATTAAAAAAAAAAAAGACTCAAAACTCAATCACTCTCAAATATGAAAAATGCACCTTGTATTCAAAAGTGCTAAAGTTTTGGGTCTTTTCTTTTAAACTTCAATTGAGGGTTGTAGATATGATAGAGAAGAATTTAGTGACAATAGTTTGGGATGATTCAGAGACTGGAATCAAGCTCAAAATATTTTCACTACATAACACCGGCGTTTTGACTGGATTTTGTAAAAATAAATTAACTGAAGCACTAATTCATAAGCAGAAGTACAAGTGAATTGTGACACTAATAGAGCTGGACAATTAGTGGGACTTGCTAAGTGATTAAGCAAAAGCCCCATTAATCAATTACATTTGATTAATCAATCAGTACAGTGTTCCTGTAACTATAGTATGATGGTGGTTTTTACAGCCAGACAGTTGCTTTCCCTCTAGTCAGCAGGTAAAATATAAAAATAAGAAAAAGAGCTTTACAATATTACTCTTACTGTGTTTCTATCAAGACTTACTGCCGCTGCCGCACAACAGTGATCATTCTGAGTTACAGAATGTGTTTACACTAAATTACACTTTAGTAGATGATTTAACCCTAGGTTAAATTTGCTTACCTGTGACATCTGTGGACGAAGGCTGATTTCTTTTAAGTCGATGCATCCTGGTTCTAGCTTATTTAACACATGACATAACAAAACGCCATCTCGTAATGTATTCGCGAGGTCAATTACTTGAGCATTTTGCCATGTAACTCGATGATCTGGAGGAACTATTGAGCAGCGAATTAACCAATTCGCGCACTCCCTCCATAAAACGTCCGCCATATTACTAAATCTAAACATTGAAAGGAACCCACTGCGCCATCTCTTTTCTAAAATATCCGAATGACAATGAAATGCAACAAAACTATACTTCACAGACACAATTTTAATTAAAATATTTTGCTTATTTTAGTATCTCAGTCATCTCCATTCTCGTAAAAATTCAAAATAATAGGAGACTTCTCCTGAATAAATAATAACTACCTTTCGAAATCACTTTTTAAAAAGTAAATTCCGTCACTAGATTGAGGTATACTTCATTTTTCATTTCAACACTCGAGTTGAAAAAATACTCCAGTCTGGCTTTATTATAATGGCCAATCAGCTCATAACCTGTAGCTTTCTATTCTTAACTGTTCTGTCTAGTAAAACTCCTTCATTGCTACCAAATAACTAGTATTCACAAGTCGAGCTTCGCAAACCACACGGATTGAGCCACTTCGAATATTTATAGTATAAATGCAAGACATTTCCCGTGAATTGTCAGGGATGTAACCTGGAGTTACCAAAATTGTAATCAGTTCTCCACCACATTTTAACCTTTCATGATTGCAGTGTTAGATGAAATCATCATATTGGAGGATCCTACTAGCAAAATATTCTCCTTTACAGATTCAACGCCAGACCAAAAACATCCTAAAATTTATTTTGGTATTTCAGAATATTCATCAGTGTTATCAAATAGTATGTATACATTAACACAATCATGTTGATGGGAGTCCTGATGTAGGTAATTTAAAATATTAAAAGGCTTTTTCACAAGTGGGACTGCTGGAGGAAGGCAGAATTCTCCATTACTCTAAGTAATTGAATGTTAATCATACAATGTAGTGTGTTACTATAACAAGGAGTTCCCTCCGTGTTACACAATAGTTCCTCTCTGGTCTACTCAGGACCCTATTGAAGTATGCCACCACATGTTCGTTTTCGCCCACTTGCTGAGACAACACTCCTACAATTCCGACATTACTAGCATCACAATTCAGTATGTACGGTAGTGAGGAATTTGGAAGCTTTAAAAGTGGAGCTGAGGTCACTTTTTCTTTCAATGTCTTAAAAGCTTGATGGCAAGAAACTGTCCATTCGAACTTCTGGCCTTTTTTTGTTGTTGTTAAATCATGTAGTGGAGCAGCTTTAGTTGCAAAGTCCTTCACAAACTTCCGGTAATAGGTACAGAGTCCCAAGAAACTTTTTAACTCTCCCAAATTGTCTGGTGTTGGCCAATCACACACTGCTTTCACCTTGTCAGGATCAGTTCGTACACCATGCTTACTTACAATGTGACCCAAGTAAAGCACCTCTTTCTGGAACAAATGGCATTTTTTGAATGAAGTCAAGCATTTGATGCTTTAAACGCTTGAATACTTCCTCTAGCTTGGACATTTCCTCATCAAATGTTGTTGCAAACAGAATGACATAATCCAGGTACACTAGGGCTATTCTCCATTGCAGACCTTCCAGTATTCTTTCCATCAGCCTCTCAAATGTTACTGGAGCATTGCTAAGCCCGAATGGCATCACTACGGTATTGCCAGAGACCTTGGCCATAACTAAATGCAGTCTTAGGTTAATCTGCTTCAG